TATCTACATGGGGTACAGTAACAGTGTGATGCATTTTGTGTGAGCTTTAAGTTAAAATTTTTATATTTTAAATAGTTTATTGTTTTACAAAACATGAACATATACCTTTTTAAATCTAGAAGACAAGGCAATGTGCAGTCCATTCTCTTTACGCTGATTCCACCCAATTGCATGGACCGTAAGCATATCAGTTCTTACTGTAGGGAACAACAGAAAATCAATAATCTACAATAAATTGTAAAATATCCAGTTGTTTATTTACAGGCTAGCAGGGGACTTACAAACCTGACTTGGTCATATATTTTGTGGTCAGGGCACATCTGGATAGAAAACTATTTACTTGCTCCACTTCTTCCCCAAGTGTGGTTCCAGCACCTTCCTGGTTCCTTGCATTCCACAGAATCTACAGGAAGCAGTATACATGTTAAACAGTGTGGACAACAGGGTGTTGGCAGCTTTCGAGGATGCTCAAAGCACACTCCCGTGTTGTAGTTTGAGTCACATCATTATTCATTGGGTTACATTGTGTTATTGGCTATATTTTGCTCTTGAATGCAAAAATCAACTAGTTAAAAGCATCACCTCGCATTTTGTATTGTGGGCTTTGGCATGCATTACAGACAAGCAATGTCTCATTTTCTGAAGAGGTTGAAGATGACTCAGGGCCTCTGACACTTTCTCCAGGTATGGCACATAACGGCAGGTCACATCCATGGCCAAAAATTTTGCATCTTTGAACTCTTTTTGGAGATACATCGGATATGCAAAAATTTCTCCTCTATACATGTTCAGACCTTTTGAAAAATAGAAAAAAGTAGAGAGCATGTTGCAGAGTGAAGAGCAGGCTTAAAATCATTAGATTAATCATCCACAAACATTTGTAATTGCTAATATTTGTTATTTGTTAAGACCAATCCCAAGCCCAACCTTTTAGGAGGAATCCATGCCTGCACACAGCAATTTCCACACCTTCTTCATCCAACTTGTTGGCTTGCTTTGATGTCTCTCTTGCTGCTGTCCAGTGGGATTCCCCACACATTGCTTTTCCTGGTGTCTAACAAAGTAAATAGTTTCACATTTTTATTTTTGACATTAATGACAATAATGAAATTGACATTAACTATATTAAATTACGAGGCTGGTCAAACATACAAACAATGTCAACATTTTGTCATTTATTATATAATCAATTATTCAATATATATTGATAATGAATAATATTGATGGGATATTGATATCATGGGCACTTCAAAATACTGTGCATAATTATTATTAATTAAATTGTTATAGTGCTGTTTAAAATTATACTGATTGTTGCATTGGAGGTGACATTCACAGCATTAATAGCTTGAAGACTTAATTTATTTTCAAACAAAATGAACATTGTGACTATATAAAGTCTTTTTGTTCAATAACTTTGTAAAGTAAGGCTTCATTTAACATTAGTTAATTTAGTGTCAATGTTATCTTAGGTGATGTTAATTTCTTAGTTACTTACTAATAATACATTACTTTAGATAACTCAAAAACATAACTCAAAAGTCATAATCATGTTTTTATATTAAGTTAATAACTGATAGAATTCAGTTTCTTAGACTAATATTAACATAGTACTAATAAATCTGTTTTCCTCAATTTTCAAAATTACTAATGAGACTTAATTGTAAAGTATTATATATTGTACTGTAAAATCCTTTTAAAATCTTTATTTGTTTGAATTTTTTTTAAACTAAACATGTACTGACAATAAAGCAATACACCAAGTATTTTTTGGTTATTATACCTGTTAAAGTAACCCTTTTTAATATTAGAGTATATCATAATGTCATAAGCCTAATCTCTCTCTCGCTATATATATATATATATATATATTTATATTTATGTATGTATGTATATTGAGTCTGAATATATAGTCAAGCCCGATATTCATAACACAGGTTATTCTGAATTACTCATAACACCTTAATAAAGGCTCCCTCACCCAAGTAAGAAGGCTACAGTATTTCCTACTTTACATCTAATTATTTATAAAATAAGGCAAAGATATCTGTTTATCAGCCGGATTGAAAAAACTTACACTCTTGACTGCACCACGGACTTCCTCAACAAAATTAGACACCATGGAGTCTTGGGCTAAAAAAACTCCTTCAAAAAACCCTGGCTCTTGACTCCTATAAGAAAATTAATTATTAGTAGACGTGTAACCTATAAATAATTTAATTTATAAATCTATATTCAGCAGCTACAGTATCAACAGCTTTATTTTAGATACATTAAAGCTATATCACAATGATAATGTTAGTAGCAAGTACATACATGTACTGCATAGTCTGTTTTTAATGTGCATACAACACTCACTGGTTTGTTTTTTGGAACCTGTAGAGTTTTCGGTTACCATCCACTGAAACAGCCACCATTTCAGGGCTACAGGCTGGACAGAGAAATGGCTCCTTTCCCAGTAGTTGGTTCTGTTCAGAGTTGCAGTACACATATTGCAAAAAGCTTCTCTGAAAAGCATCCGCATTCACTTTGCCAGTCTAAAATACACAAGTTGCAGTATACAATGACAATAACATCCAAAATCACAGATCTGTTAGTGCACTCACAAATCCAAGAAAACTGCATATTACCATGTTGTCTTATTTGACCTTCATTTTGTTTAATTTCAGTAGCCTTAAATACTATAGCCAGTTGTGAACCTTGAATTTCATATCAGGTTATATCAGAATCACACTAATTAACATAATGATCTTTCAGATTCCCATTTTTACTCACTCTTCCAAACTGCTTTGTTCTCTGGTCTAGCAGTGCTGTGAATGCTTTCACTGACATTCCTGGAGCTGCTGTCTTCATAGCCTCAAACGAATGAAATAGATCTTGGTGGAATAGGGTCTGGGCTTGCATGGTAGCAGGCCAATAACCACTCTTTTCGAAGTCAATGACCCCTGGAGTCCATTGCTCATTGCAATGTTTGCATGTCAGCAATGGTGTGTGAAGGTTATAACGGCCTGGGAGCACATGAAAGACAAATAAATTACATGGAAGTAATGTGTTAGATAAATAATATTTTTTAAACAATCCTACCATTTATGCAAACCAGAATGATAGATCTTCCAACAGATACAGCTACATCAGCATTATTACAGGAACAAATTATCTGAGGCAAGGCTGTTGGTAGCAAACAATCTGTGAAAGCAAAGAACAATTAAGTTGTAATGATTAACATGTAATAATTGTACAATGCAATAAAAGTACAATGCATAATTTAAGATGATGTCTGTTGGGGGGGATGCAAATCATCACAAACCTTGTTCACAGATGATGTAGTTACTGTCATGGAGTTTGACAAATTCCGTTGGAGGGATGTATTTAAAAAAGCCACTGATTGTGGTTTGCCTACTGTGCAAAATGTGGTGTTTGTGTATTAATGTGTCACAACATTCACAAAACCACTCTGATGGCAAACATTCCCTACAACGGATAATTGCTTCTCTCACATGACAGTGACTACATGTCATCGTGGGAATCCTTTCGGCCGACAACAAGTTGGCAAGGTTTTGTGGCCTCGCCTCTTGCCAACACTGCTGGACCTCTTTTTTTCTTTGTCCCCAAATGGACAATGGAGACTGCAGGATGGTGTCTTCAGGAGGATCTTCAAGAGTGATGGTCTCAGATTCCTGAAGAAGGTTCTCTAGCCTCTGCATGTTAAAATCTTCAAAGAGAGAAGGAAAGAAATGAAAAAATAATAAAATAAATTCAACACTGTAATTCACCTACATCTAACTAATTGGGATTTCCATTGGTTTTAGTAAAGTGATAATCCGGTGATGGAACAGAAGGCAGAGGGTGAAAGGATAGTTGGAAAGATTTATGTGGAATGATTCTGGGAGTATCATAATTAAAAACTTAATATTTGAAATAAAAAAAAATTATACCTTTTTAACTTTTATTTAATGTTTACAATGCAAATCCAATTAGATCCACTTATTTGGTAAACAAAGCAAGTCTCTCATATAATCTATCTACTAAAAGTTACTAAAGTATCTACTAAAAAATTACTTTACAAATTGTATTGCAATTAAATTAAATTAACATTTTCATATTTGTCAATAATATTACTGAAATTAATTTAAAAGCTAAAAAAAAAATTGTACACACATTTACACAAGTAAATAAATAGACACAATGTTTTCGTAAGTTTTTCTACTGTCGGGTTAACACCAACAAATGGTGGTAACATTAATGCTTGAGGCATATTAGGGGACTGTAGAAAAGGCTTTAGGAAAAACCATTGTTAGCTGGCTAGTTACTAAACAGCAAACAGACAATTTCCTCAGTGTCTTGATGATTTCTTTATGCCTATGTCCCTGTTTTCAGATGAAGCATAGGTTTTGAGTTAAAATAAATAAATAAAATTCTTCTTACCAGGATATTGTTGGGTAATACATGGTGGGGAGGAACTAGCACATGGAGAACAAACTGTTTAGAAGTAAAAAAATAAAATAAAAAAAGCCACATTACAACAATTCATTGAAACTCCTTGGCAAATATACAAAAAAATAAATAAATAAACAATGTAACTTTTGGAAATCTTGCAACATGGAAAATATTAAACCTATACATACATGTCATTACACTGTAATTGACATTACCTATTTTTGCATTAAGTCTACTTAGTAGCAAGAGCACTATTAAACTCCTTCCTAGTTCATTCACACATCATTATTCACTATTAAAAGAGTTTGTCATTAACTTTATAAAATAGATACCAACCAGATGATGATCTTTTTTTCTGACGTTTCGAGGTGGACACCCGTTGCCCATCGCAGTCCCTCTTCCACCAGGTTACTTTGTTTTGTCCAGGGACTTCAGGTTGATCTGACTCTTTTTTTTTTGACTTAGCATGTAATTAAACAGATGGGAGAAAACTAGGCATTAACTAACTGGAGTTAATTGCTTAAATATTTGTGTATAACAAAAAAAAAAACAAAAAAAAAACTTGCCTGTATCTCCTCAACAAATGCATCAGCGAGAAGAAGAACAGCTTCTAATTTATGTTTGTTTCCACTTAACATTGTACTAAAACAAAAAATAAAATATCAGTTCAATCTGATTTCTGACTGCAACTCAAACTTGAGTTGATTATCACAATTCAAAGCAAAGCTTGGACCACATCAAATATGTGACTTAAAATTTGTAATTTTTTATTCATTTATTTTAACAAGGTTACAGTTTTGTAAAGTTTTTTTGTAGCTGTATTGGTAAATGCCTCATTTAAAATATAGCAAATGTTTTTTTTATGCTAGGGAAAACATCTTTAGTCTAAATCGTGCTTAATTTTTGTTTAGATAAAATGCACTATATAAGCTTATTGATCAGTTTAATGTTTTTTTTAAACACCACAGACTAATAAATAAATAATTAGCGATAATGTATTTAAAAAAACTAATTGGAAAATATCAATTTTGTTACACATTTTTCCACCCTGCTAATTGTAGCACTGTATTTATTATTTTTTTTTAATATAAATTTGAAACTCATTTACTTGCTTTTATATATATATATATATATATATATATATATATATATATATATATATATATATATATATATACACACACATACACACACACACACACATATATATATATATATATATATATATATATATATATATATATACATATATATGTGTGTGTGTGTGTGTGTGTGTGACCTGCTGTTATATTATACAATTTATTTGCATCTTATTTATTCATTTTACCTTATTAAATAAATTGTATTTCAATTATTTTATCATATATTTATTTTAATTTAAATATATTTATTGTATTGTTTTAATGGAATTAATCTAGTTAACTTGAGTGTTTTTTAAGTTTTAGAAATTTATTTTAAAACAATTAATGATTTAAATTTAATTTAGATATTACGTGTTATGCCTTTTCTCTAAATATTTTCACGGTCTGTACAATGAATCTGCAAGCAACTAGTGATGCCTGCTAACGTGTTTTATTTTTTGTAAATGTAAACCGTATGCTCTGTAATACCGATCTGGCGTCAGCTATGACTAATAATAGTATAGATGACCACAAGTTGAAAATAAACCGGTTTAGGGGCCCATTCGCACTTGTTAGTCCACTTTAATGCTAGACGTTACCACTTTAGCTAAAAAGATTGCTAAGACTCATTTTACTGACTCGAATCTTTGAATCACGTTCAGCAAACTGAACAAATCTTTTCACCAAAATATAATTAAGGTTAACGTTACATGTTTGAATTAGATCTGCAGTGCCGTCATCCCCGATGTTTAAAAACGTCCAATCATGTCACAACATGATAAAAACTGATTAATTTATTAATAATTACTCCAGTAATGGCAGCAGTAATGTTATAGCTGGGCTAAGTTACCAGCTGTGCTAACTGAACGCCCAGATGTTACACTTGAATAACAACTTTGAACGCACAATTTCTAACACACGACTCATGTAACGTGATGAAGAAACACAAAATTTATTAAAATGCAGTTAACGCCATGATCTCATCACAAAAAGAGGGGAAAAGCCCTTACTTACTTGATTCAATGTCGATGCTCATCAGGTGAACTGGCGTTGAACCGAGTCTCGTTGATGACGTCATCGCCGTTAAAGTTGGTGCGTGGCATATGGACGCATCTGTTCTCCGAAGAAATGAATGGGAAGGACTGGCGTATCATATGCACGCAAAAACGGATTTTGGCGTATGCATTGCACGCAAAGGGAAGGTGGAAAGTCGTGTTATTTGTACGCAAAGTTATGAGATCGGGTTGGTTTATATCACCCCAATATGATGGTCTATACACTACAGTTACACACATTTCTGTCCAAACAGCTTGAAAAGTAGATTTTTCACCATAGGTGCCCTTTAATGTCAATTGCTTTGGACTTTTTAAAAACCAAACGCATTTATTTTATAAAATTGTATGTTTCATGTCTATTTATAAATAATATGTCCACTCTACCTTACTTCTGTAAATAGTTTTTGTATAATGGAGGATCATATAAAGCATAGGTCTCAAACTGGACTCCTAGAGGGCTACAGATCTGCAAAGTTTTGCTCCAACCATGATCTAACACAGGTGAGCCAATTAATCACGGTGTTTAAAATCACTACAAACTATTAAGCAGGTGTGAGTTGGAGGTGGTTGGAGCTTAACTATGCAGAGCCGCGGCCCTCCAGGAATTGAGTTTGAGACCATTGATGTAAGGGCATATTGACCTGTTATTGTTATGAGGAACTTTGTAAATGTTTGTAGTTTTCTTTTACTGATTAGGGATTTTTTTTTGGGTAAAAATGTCTAACAGCAGTTGTGATTGTATGTCTTTGCAATAAAAAAAGTTTTATTTAGATGAATTGTTGATAATTGGATATGTGTTGGCCTGATTGGGTAGCTTTAGTTGGACAGAGGAAAACTAAGACCTTTTTAAAATGATTTAGACCTACAACACACTATTTTAGTCAATTTAAGACTTTTTAAGGCCCACAATTTTGTTTTTGAAACACTGGCTGTTTCTCAAGTCCAAGAATGCAGAGAATGGACTCAAGTTCTTGTGGAGACTGGTCTTGCCAAATTACTTTGGAAGAACGAACTAGGGAGACCGCAAGAACAAAAACTGCATCCTGTGAGAAATGAGATGCTGCGTTCTATATTAGCTTTTTTTGATGGTCACATGACCTTCACATGTTTTTAATGGAAAATTATTTAAGCATTACAACATTCACATAACAATTTATTGTTTTTCCCCCTTTTAAAAAATATATATATACTATATGTAAACACCATATAAATCTACTTCACGCAATACAAACAAAATTGATTTAAACGTGAATTCAGCAAGTAAACACCTTTATGTGTTTATTCCTTTATTAAGATGTTCATGGTCATGTTTACTGTCACCATTTCATTTAGGAAAATTCATGAGATAAGTTATATCTCTGAACTTTAATAATAACTCCCAACTCCTTTATTTAGCCGCAATGATTTCTAGGACTTTTTCAAGTGAATTTTGCGCTCAAGTCTGCATCGATGAGTCCTTGACTTCAAAAACATATCTGGGAACTTTCACACACCCTTCGTTCTTGCGGTCTTGAGTTTTGGAACAGAACTTTGGCCGTTGATAATGACGTTACAAAGTAAAAAAAAAAAAACCTGGTTGCCTTAAATTTTTGAGCTGAATCACTTTAACCTTATGAGTTTATTAAATTTATATTATGTTACACTGACTTAAAACAGCTTGAAAAACTTATAAAATTGATTTTGAACAGGATTAACTTAGTTTAAATAGTTACAATGAACCAAAAACATATGCTGTGATGACTAACTGACTAACTTATACTTCTGCGTCAATTGACCGGCGTGACCCACGGCGCATGCAACGTGCGTAGTTGTGCATGTGCATTTATACTTCTGCGCGCTGTCTCTGTTGGTCTGCATTAACACTTCCAAAACGCTAGTTGGCAGTGAGGTGTAAATGTTCCTCTGTGTCGAGTTTCTTCTCTGCTGTTTTGCTTTTCCTGAACACTTCCTGGATGTACAAGTGGCTCAAACTCTTTTTGAGGCAGGAACCGGCGGACGTGCAACAACTTTAACTATGAGGTAAACACAAAACAAAACTTTCCATCAGGAGCTCCTTTACGGGACTCCACACTTGTAAACAATCACTACATTGGGCTCGCGTCCAGCTCGCACCATTCGCGCGGCTCTCTGTCCCGCCCAGTCTTGTCAGCGCTACCAAGCCGACCAATCACAGAGCTTGCGATACGCATCTTTGCGACGTGTAGTTACAATTTTTGAGAGGTGCACGTCAGCGACGCCGATGGCCACATTGAAGGGCTATGCGTAAGCGCCGTAGCATACGCCGGCGTTTGACGCGGAAGTATAAATCAGCCTTTACAGTGTAGGAACATTTCACAATTTTTTGTTTGTTTAAACAGCTTAATAATGATTGTGGTTTTTGATTTGTGATGCTGCTGGATTTACAACATTTAATTTCATCAATATTTCTTCCAAATACATGAAAGTAAGTGGCTGTTTAACTGGGAGTGTAATGCCACGCCAGCAGAGGGAGCCCTCGACTGTCTTCTGACTCAGCTCCGCTCCCTCTGCAGTCACTTCCTGTTTGTGCTGTATTTCAGTAAAAGCTCAGGCCATGCTTCCTTGCGAAGTATTGCCAGTTCGCCTGTATTATCAAGCATTGTTCCAAGAAACTTTCATGACTACCTGTCTTTATCAATTATGTTATCTGTCTTTGCCTTAAACTTTTGCCTGCCTTCTTACCAAGATTTCTGGATTTGCCCCTGTGTTTGCTGATCTGTTTAGGACTGATGGTTGTTATACTGAACCTCTGCATGCACTCTCACTACGCTGCTGGAATTGCCCCTGTGTTTGTTATTGGATTGGACTGCTTACATGTTGCAGACTCTCTGCCTGTTTATTCGTTGATGTCTCTGCCTATCCCCTTTAGTAAACTTCTACACATGGAATCTAACACAGCCTCAGACCCCTCATTACAGCGAGAAGAATAGGTTAAATGTGTTAGTGACCTAAATGTGTGTAACTGATGTGAATAAAGCACATAGTCCATTATTGTCCTGTCCAGATATCAGTGTGTATTATGTATTATGTATTACGTTTATGTTTATGTTTAGCTAAAAGTTTTGTATTTAAATGTCTGAAACATAAAATGAACATTATGGGCCCTATCATACACCCGGCGCAGTGTGGCGCATGACGCGGCGCAATAGTCTTTTGGTAGTTTCAGCTTGGCGCAAGAGTCATTTTGAGGTGTTGCGCTACGCTGTTTAAATATCAAATGCAGTAGCACTCATTTGTGGGCCCATAGGCGTTCTGGTCTAAAAAGGTAGCCGTTCTGAGGCGGACTGCTGGCGCGTTGCTATTTTGAAAAACTATAATAGATTTTTCATTAGACCAATACTAACCCGGTCTAAACTCCGGCGCAGAGTTGCGCCTCGCTTACGCACTGCTTGATACGCACAAGAGAGCAATAGGCAAATATTTTTACATATGAAAAAATTTAAATATTAAGGATATATATAGGATATAATAAGAATAGATATAGGATATAAATATAAAGGATTAAAATATTACAAAACATATTATTTTCTAGCCTATATAAATATGAAAAACCACTGCTTTTATGTCTTCTTCATCTCGGGAGGCTTTTTCAGTTCATTCATAACAATTTGCCTTTGTATAATGTTATTATTATTAGCAGTATTATTTAATATATCCATATTTATATTTGTTTTATTAAAAACAAGCTTAGATTTGCCCACCTGTCAGGTTTAAGACCATATGGGGCATGGGAGGTGTATTTGGAAATAACTCTATTTTGACCACACTTGGTCATTATTGTTCATTTATTCGTTTGCTAGAAATTAGAACTGAATTTAGAAATAGTTTTGAAACAAATCTTTGCGCTTAACAAACAAATTAATTATTTATAGGGTAATTGATGTCTGTGCATAAAGGTTTCCCTATCCAAGAGCGAAAGTGAAAGTAGATCATTTATCTCTCATTCTCAGCAGTAGATGCTCTGTTTAACAGTTTTCTGTTAAAAAAACTGTTAACTGTTTGCTTGTGAAATGCAAATTTTTTCCACTTAGACTTACTTTGCGTCCTGTAAATAGCGAATGCGCTTTTGGTGCGACGCAGCTGACTCTTAAAGGGAATGGGAGATGAGACTCTAATTGGTTTATTCTCAAAACACACCTATAACTCATTAAGAAAATAAACTCAACCCTTTTAGACCATGCGCCTTGGCGCAAGGCAGATTTCCCGTCCTTAAATTAGCAAAAACGCGTCCTGACACGCCCTGAAAGCGTTTGCGCCCTGCGTTTTGTGCTCTGCACATGGACCGTCAAAATAGACCCCGATTTGTTTTAAAGACTCTACTTATACCAGTGGATCGTAAAAATGAGTTATTTAAAGTTTAAATTCAAGTAGTTAATGAAACATTCTGGTTGTCCACATAAAGAGATCAAAATCAATTGAGTAAACTCGACAAGCATTTGCTGAAGTAAAATTGACAAGTTAATTTGAGTGAAAGCGATCTGATCTCATTACTTCATGATGAATTTTGCTCTTGGGTTCCATTTGCTGAAAGCTGAAATTACATCATTCAAATGTGTGGAAATGTGTGTAGTAATTATATCAGGTTACACCAGATGATTTATTATTTTTTGGAGTGTATGAGAATCAGGGCAGCAGGAGCACGTCTTCCCATCGAAAGCTCTTCCTCTGAGCTCCAACAGGCAGAAGCGGCTCCGAGTCCCATGAGACCACGCACATCATGGCTCTGAGCCAGGTGGAAAACACAGCTTCTAATTGCTCTTTTTATATTCTCAATGAGCTCTTTAGCTACATCCAGCCCATAAATATACTTTCCATGACTGTTGCTAAGGACAGATAAGACTAAAGCACGTCGTTTTGGTTCATTTATTCTAAAGACAGAGCATCCTCACTCATTTTCAGACAGCACGTTCGTGGGAAATCTTTGGGAATCTGGATGATTAAATAAATATGTTTTCTCAAATAAAACAACCCCTAAGTCTGGGGGATTACATTAGGAGGGGTTTAATAAACGTGGAAGTCTTGCTAAGTTACGGTCATTAATTAATAAAATAAATTATAAATAGATATGTTTTACAATAAGGACTACCATTCTACTAATATGTTTTGTATAACACTTAGATACACTTAGGTATAATTTAGTAAACTCTGTGTTAATTTACTTACTCTCAG